AGCCACCAAAAACTTCACCATAAAAACCATGAGGCTGTCCTATGTGGGGCTGCCCTTGAGGACAACTTCAAAATTTCAGTTCCTTCCAAAATGCAGCAGCCTGCAAGGTAAGTAATATGTTCATGTGACTTCAATTTTTTGATCTTTGCACTAGGGGAAATACTGATAGGCACAACGATACCCACAGAAGTCACACTGGGGAACCCTGCTTTAGGCTTTTAGATGCAAAAGATGTATTCACAACGGCAGAATGGGGCAGCTGAACTGACATAAGTTTCTGATTTTTTCCTAGCTCTGTGTTTTGGATGTATTTTTCGTTTGAACTTTGCTGTTGGCCGATTTAGTCCCTTTTTAGCAAGAAAAGGAGGATTGTATAAATGTTTTACATAAATAAGAAAGTGATTACACCAATACCATACAAATTGATGCAAGGCTTAAAAATTAGAGTCGAAACAGCATGACACCCAAAATGCCATAAGGCAAACAGCAACAGAAGAACAAATTTAAAGTCCAGTTGCACCTCTTAAGACCAACAAAGGTTGATTCAAGGTATGAGCTTCTGTGTGCAAGGCACACTTTTTCAAATACACTGGAATGGCAGATGAGGTTCTAAACTCATAGACAGGGATTTAACAGCAAATTAACATGTAACATGATGATGTTTAAGTTATGCAAAGTGAAAAACTAAATAACAATTTAAGGGTATACGGTCAAGAGTTGTAAAGCAATAAATATGTCACAATAGCAGATAAATGTCTAAAGGTGTTTTTTTCTAATTGTGGGAAGTAACAGAATCTTAATTATCTCCTCTGAGGCGTAGAGGGCGTGTGAAGGGCACTTTGAGCTGGATGTAATGTTGTCAACAGAAATCCATTCAGTATTCTAATATACTATTCTGAAAAAGAAATACACTAAAATATAGAGGATTTATAGTCCTTGTTGAGAATACATATGTGAGGACTGAATGAGCTAGCATATGTAATGGGATAAAAATCCAATATCCCTGTTGAGTCCTGGGGAGGTTTTTGTTCCAAGTGTTGTAATAACTTGAAATTCAGCAATTTCCCTTTCCATTCTGTTCCTGAAGTTCCTTTGTAATAAAACAGCTTAGCTTTGTTGGTCTTAAAGGTGCCACTGGACTCTAAATTTGTTCTGCTGCTCCAGACCAAAACGGCTGACTACTTGCATCTAGCAACAGAAGAGACAGCAGAAAGACTCATAAAGCTCACATCCCCAAAGAAGCCTGGGCAAATAGGCTCGGCATCTAACAGGCAATTTAGCAAGATTCAGGATGGGGAACTACCCATGATGGTATCACACCAGTCCATATTATGCATATGCTAATGGCTAGCATTTTTGTAATCCTAGAAATACCAGTTCCACTATTATACAGGCCACTAGCTAAAAGAGACCAAGTACTATATTTTGCTATAACAAACCAAGTAACAAACAACATGTATCCTTGGGAACGTACATCACAAACATGTTTCTAGAAAACACCATCCCCATTAAAACGATGTTACTAACTGGACTCAAGCCAGTACAAGCTTGAAATATGGGTCCTTGCCCACACATGATCCCATCCCATTTATACATACAATCTCATGAGCCATCAAAGAAATGTTTCTATTTTAGTTCTGAAATGACATTTTCCACATTTCTGAAGTTATACCACAACCCACACCAGTGCTTTTCTATCATGCCCTATAACACACACCCTTCCCTTGCTATTTTTGGTTAGCATAACACCTAGCCTGAAGAAGATGACTGCAAAGCTCAGTGATTTATTTTGTGATATCTTGGTTGGTGCTGAATAGCATGTCTTAAATGGAGGTTCAGTAAGGACAGAGGGTGCATTCCTTCCACATCCATCCAGTAACACAAACACAGAGCCCCTGCAGTTTTCTGGGAACAGGGGTAGGGACTCTCCACCTAAGGAGATGGAATCACCTTCCTCCTCTTTCAAAGGGTGGGAGCTCATACAGCTGCCACCATTACTTGCTTTCAGCTAGTGTCCAGATCACCTCGGGGTATTAGCCAGAAAGCACCCTGATTGGTTACTAGCCACCAACAGCACAGCATTAGGAATTCTAATTGGTTGACAGGCACCAAGGACGTTTGATTCTAATGCAATCAAAGTTGTTTCCACCATAAAAGTAAATTGGTTTCACTCTGTTTTTCCAATGCAAAGGATTTCAGTACAATGATACAGAGAGGGTACTCTGCATTTACAAGGAATAACTGAGTATTTGCCAATGGTGATTTTTCAGCTTAACGCCAGAAGTTCAGGTTTCGTGTGATGCTGTTCTTTTTCTGTCTATGAGCAGAACTGAAATGTTTCCCCAGCCCCTTCTGACACCTGTTCAGCTGCCTCTAACTTGACTAGCCAAGAAGAAAGTTTTATATCACCTCCAAATAGTAGGTTTGTTTGTACCCAAAGCATTTGAACAATATCTAAGTGGATGGCCATACAAAAGGATTATAAAGGATCAAACAAAACCAAGAAGGGGAATTATGATGCTTATCAATATAAAAATGGAGACTATCTACCAGAAGAGCCACCAAAGCCATCACTGTCCCATAACAAGTCCTGAAGCCTGGACAAAGAGGGTGATGAACAGGTATGTTACCCAGAAAGCCCCAGAACTAATCTATCACCACCTTCTTAATATCTCCCCCCCCCTTTTTTTTAGAAAAAGACAAGTTACAACTTATTTCAGAAACTTTGGGAAGCTCCCCTCTTACTGAATGAACTGATCATTTTGTTTTCAGATGAATCCTCACCTTAACCCTGCATGACTACCAGCCTGGTAGGACAAGGGTCCTTCACAACAGGTAGAATATTGTCCACATTACTCAAGCCAAAACTATTCATAGAAAAATGATCCAAGATATCTCGTTTTAGGTGATTCTCACTGCATCCAATATTTAAAATTTCTGTTCCTTCTACTGATAATGCTAAGGTTGTTTCAATGTATGGTCTTTAACTCAACTTTTACTTTTCATGGTCCTTGTATTTCTCTTTGATATGTTAAAGATTTTTTTTAAATAATTAAAAAAGAAAAGAAAAATGATCTAGAAAGAGGTTCTTCTGTTCACTGAGTTCTGTACTAAATGTAGAAACTTGACTCCTACCCAAGGAAGAAAGAGGACAACCGTAATAACAGCCCCTCTATTGCCCCAGGAGGCAAATATTTCAAGCCCCAGATAGGACTCCCACACTGTTCAAAATCCATCAAAGCATTCTTGAATTCAATTGGATTCATCACAGCCCAAGGGTAGACCATCCTGACATATTCAACATCATCCATTCCTCAATGTTTTTACTTGTTTTCTTTGTAATAGTTATTAAGGTAAAGGTAAAGGTTTCCCTTGCTCAAAAGCTAGTCAAATCCGACTCTAGTGGGCGGTGCTCATCTCCGTTTCCAAGCCGAAGAGCCAGCACTGTCCGAAGCCGTTTCCATGGTCATGTGGCTGGCATGACTAAACACTGAAGCGCATGGAACGCTGTTACCTTCCCACTGAAGCGGTACCTATTTATCTACTTGCAATTTCTTGCTTTCGAACAGCTAGGTTGGCAGGAGCTGGGGGCAGAGACGGGAGCTCACTCCATCATGCAGCACTAAGGTCTCAAACTGCCAAACTACAGACCTTCCAGTCTGCAGCTCAGTGTCTTAACCTCTGAGCTGTATTCTTTTCCAGTAGTTTCAATTGGAAGCATCTCTATCTTTAACTATATTTTCCACCAGTTTGGATGGAACTTTCAGGCACAATACCTACCTGAGGCTCCTCCCCCCCATCTTACCTGTCTGAAATCTGGCAAAGGGTTCCCATTTTATAGGCAACTAAAATGCTCATTTGCTGAGCAAGCACAAGGAGACATGATTTTGTGTGTAAGTGAATTCTTCCTCCTTTGGGAAAAGCTACTCTAAAATAAAAACTGAGTGTATGTGAGGATTCTAGCTCCTCTGGTATTTTACCTCAGTGCAGTCTGAAGCATTTTTCTCCCAGCAAAGCTCCAATAGGTGGGCAGACAGAAAAATGCTTCAAACATCAAAGTAATGTGCCATTTGCTGGGGAAAGGAACATTTGCCTCTATTCCTCTCCACAATCTATCTTTTTTTCTGGACTGCACAAGCAAAATTATACTCTACCTCTATCATTCTTTTCATCAGGATTTGCCCTCAGTGAGTAACACAAAAACATTTGCATCAGGCAAACAGACAGGCTCAACATCAGAACTGAAGATGAAACAAGGAGACCATAATGCATGCATGCCATGCATGCGCGTGTGTGTGTGTGTGTATGACAATTCAGTAACTGGCAGAAAGTAAAAAACACAGTCTACAGAAACACCTACAAGACAATCTTCTTCTGTAGAAAAATCTGCTAACTATACTGGTTGAAAGATGCCCCTCTCAGATTATCTGCCAAGTTATGCCTCCTCCTTGCTGCTCCTTCCATTTCCCTTGTGCAGACAGTGAGGCTCAAGGAAAGTGTTCATATCCAACAATTCATAGAGATTACCATTATTTTAGTGACTGTATTAGTCATATGAAAAAATAGAAGGGATCAAATTCAGATTTTGATTAGTCAATTTCTGAATACACATCATTACTGTTCTGAGCAGTAGGTATTCATGTGAACAAAAAAAGCTAGTCATCTGAAATCAATGGGCTCAGCTGCACATAAGTATGGGCATCATTGCAGATTCAGGTCTTATATTAAGCTAATTATTTTAAGTGTCAGAGCAAAAGTTCTAATAACAGTTCTTCTGAGGAACTCAAAAGGATAGTATGAATAGTATCCTCTGGCAAATTTACTATGTTGCAATTAATAACTTTTCATTTCAGCTTTTTTTAAACCCTGGAAAACAATACTGGGCCATATTAAAAACCTGTCCTTTTAGGAAAATTCATTTCACATAAGATAGGGCTATTTAGTTTCAAAACACTGTATCAAGTTGCATCAAGATATAGTTGACACCATTATAAGCATACCTCCCTTTCAGATTTTCCAGTTCCCTGTGATGAAGCATACTTCTCATGTGCTCATCCATCTCCTAAAAAAAGAAAAAGTGTAAGCCATAAATAGTTTAAAAAACAGTGCATAGCACAGATCAATTTGCTTTTCAGCCATTTGGTGGATTCCTATCCAAAAAGTCATTCTACTTCCTTCTGACTGACACTTTACCCACTGGTTCCTCCTACTGAACGGATATAGACACAAGGGGTGTGTACAAAAAAAAAGGTATTTTTCGGGTGTATTGAACCTGAAAAATATTAGTGTTTCTCGATATTCCCAAATCCCAATATCAGTATGATATTAGGATTCAGGAAATAATTGGGATTGCTGAATTTCTTGGCTCAGCATTTAAAAGGATGGTCCCTTCAAATGCGTTTTGCAAGCAGTGGCGCGAGTCAACCCAGAAGGCTTGCAAAACGCATTTGAAGGGGCCATCCCTCCATGTTGTGTGCAAGTTGGCTTCAGGAGGGGGGTGAAATCCTAGGTTCCCTGTGCAAAAGGGGAATGTGTCGAACACCCCGCCCCCCAAGCTAGAGGCCTCAAACTGGCAGCGGACCTCCCTGGGAAGCCCCTCTATCTGTCCTCCAAGGTGTATGCAGATTGGCTGGGGGAGGGGGAATCCTAAGGTCCATGTGCAAATGGAGAGGAAGTGTTTCAAATGGCCTCAAGCTAGTGGCCTCAAACTGGCAACAGACCTGGCAGCGTCTTGCAAAATGTGTTTAAAGGGATGGTCCCTTTAAATGCATTAGGCTTCTTCTGGCTCACAATTTAAACCACAGGCCAGGAGAAGCTGCGATTAGGTATTGCCATGCCAAGTATCAGCTTTTATTGGGATTCTCTATATCGGAAGCCAGTTACAGATTAGAGAATCCAATTCGGTTTATTAAATACCTGAAAAATACTGCTAAGGTATTTTTCGGGTATTTATTTGGCTTGGTAAATACCAAATGCACACCCCTAGTAAACACCTTAATGCAAAAGGTATACATGAAAGGTAGTTAAGAGAGTAGATACAGAAAAATATATAGTGTATGCCCTGAAAATAAAGATCTGGCTTTAAACTGTTCATAATGATCAGTGAAATGTAGGAAATAAATTGTATCTGCTGTGTTTGTTTCTATGTAAATTAAACAGTTTCTCAATTTTTAGATTGGAGGGTTGTCAAAGATCATGCTTGTGTCTTAAACCAGTATTTTCAATCACGCAGGGTGGTCCATATGCATTTCTACCTTTTTGCCTCTTGATTTATCTATTTCTTCCTTCACATTTATAGCCCTTCCTTCCCAGAGGTGGGCTCAAGACAGGTAATAATACTTCATTTATACAAAATACAATAAAATCAAATTTAAAACAGCATCATAAATATTAAAATGGTGGTCACAGCTGACAACAAAGAAATTTTCTGGTTGTGGGAGGTTCCTGGCTAGAGCCAGTAGTTGTTAACGGTAATTTTCTATTTCCTTCCAGAATCCCTTAAACTGCAGAGTAGATGAGTTCCCAGCTTCTTATAATATGCCTTATTCATGCAAAAGCACCATGGCTTATTGGCAGAGAACATGCATTGCATGTAAGGGGACCACAATGCCACCACCATTCGGCTTTTATTTATTAGGGAGATTGTTATTACACCACAATTGTTTGGTTCTGGGAAGTCACCTCCCTAATTTGCTAACTGTCCTGGCAGAAGACTCTATAAGCAGAGTTCTGGGAAACTTTACTCATGAGGTTATGTCAATTCTAGTGAAAGAAAAAAGGTTGTTATTAAGGACCAGGATTCGAAGGAGAGGTCTTCTCCCATGTGTCATCAGTGGAGTTATTTCACAGCTAAGGACTTGACCTGGGCCATATGCTCGCTCAGGCCAGATTTCCTAGTGGGCTTTGAGTGCCAGACAAAAACACTGAAGTTTTCTCAGACTTTGTGTTCATTTTACTTTTCTTTGGATTGTGTGATGGATCCTTGTCTCCTTGGTTTTACTGATACTTTGCCTATCCCATTTATACTGCTTTGCTTGTACCACACTGGAAGGATACTACATTGTGTGCTTTCAGTCTGTTTTTAAAGAGTGTTTTATTATGTTTTTAGTCTTTGTTTTATTTTGCACTTGTTCAGACAGAGAGATACCACAACAATTCATTCATTACAAAAACTGAATCGAGAATACCAGAAGAGCATTATGCTGAAAGTGTGGGATAAATATTTTAGATAAATAATTAAAATTACCTTGTTTTTGCTCTGAATGCCCTGCCTGATAAAGGCCCATTTTTTTGTAGTCTGGGACACACACACCTATAAATTCCAAATTCCACTCATCAAGTGTAAAGAGTACATACTGCAGAATTGCTTTTATTTAAGGTCCTTTCTTGGCCACCATTTTAAAGTTTCTTTTAACACTCAAGTATGATCTGGTCCATGGGGTCGCGAAGAGTCGGACTCGACTGTGCAACTGAACAACAACAAAAATTATTATGTACACCTGCCTTCACATGGGGGCCCAATCCTGCTGGGGAATGTGGTATGGGGGATGAGGGGTGCCTGTCTCCCCCCCCCATGCTGTTTACCCCAGAAGGAATGCTCCCCCCCCAGTGATTATAAAAGTTTTTTTAAAAAAAACATGCTGTACAATGGCACCACATCCCTGTGGAGGACTTGGGGACAAATAGCTTGACTGACTTAAGTTTTAGTACTGCTCCTTTGAACATTTACAGTGCCTTTTGTACAAAATGACTAGTTAATTCTGCCCCTGCTCACCTTCCTAGATCAGCATCAGAGTTCTAATCTACCATGTAAGTCAAATACACATTCAAGTACTTGATCATATTACAGTTGTGATTACTATATTTTTTATGGACCAGTTTGTTCCTAGGACAAAGATGTTAATTCCACAGAACTTTCTTTATTGAAAAAAAAGTTGTTATAGTAGTTTTGAAATGCTTCTTTTACCTTTTTTGAGGTGTATATGATGTGGCACAGTATACATTTTCGTTCTTGAACCATAGCGAATACTTTGGAAAGATTTTACCCCACCCCTACAAGAAGAAAGAAATCCATTAACATTTCTTAAATTTTTGAAAATGATACTATAAGTAATTGAAGCAGAACTCTAACTTTCATTTCCATTCCCATTCATATCTTTAGTTATAATTTGTTTTCATTACAGCCCAATTGCAATGTACCTTCGATCAAATTCTCGCATTTAAGGAAAATATTTCTAAACTGTTATAACTGTCATGTTTACTCAAAAGGAAGATGAGCCTGAGCATGATGATGCCACCCCCTTAAAAAGTTACACACATAAGGGTTTTTTTTAATTACTGTACATTAACTCTAACTTGTATCTAAGCTTAAGACAGACTCCACTTTCTTGATGGCACACATGGCTTCCTTTTAAGTAAACAAGTATATAATATTTGATTAGAATAATATGCTGAAGAACTGAAATTTATCACATTCAGATTCCACCTGCGGAAACCTTCCCACAATTAAAATGACAGTGAAAACATCTAGCCATGGACACTATAGAAGATAGAACATGTGACAAGATGGGCATAAAACTGGGGGAAAGAACCTGAAGAGGATCTGCAGAGAGGACAAGAAAACAAATAGACCCAAGATATCAAAACTCAGCAAGAACAGGAAAAATGGACACAGCAGAAAAACCACAGACTGTGGCCAGAAAAAAAGTTCAAAGACTACAGTTCAAAGACTACTATTCAATGGCTTTGGGGTTCATTTGTGTTGGTTTATTCATTGTTTTAACTGTGGCTTAATTGGTTTGATGTGTTTAAATCCAAATGAATAGTCTATGAGTTTAATGAAGAAACAATTCAATTTCACATTTTAATTTTGCTCTACTTAAAAATACTATAGTTTTTGTTTCTATTCTAATGAATTATTATTATTACTGTTACTAAAGAATCAAGTACAACATCAATACAAGTCAACACCATTACATTTTTCATCTAGATATTTGTACTAATGTATTATGTGCATGTATTTATTACTTATTTAAAATACCCCCATGACAGCTATGCGTGAATTTCACAGAAAAACAATGTAAGGCTACTGGATCACATCAAGCCCAACATTCCTCAGAATAAAACATTATTTCTAGAACAAGCTGTCAGAGTGTGAATTGCTATATAGCAGAAGAACAGGGAATAGCAAGTTAAGGTACAGCTTAGATACCTTCCTAGTTCTATTTTTTTTTTTGCCAGGGCAAATCATATCCCTTGCCTTTATCACGGGGATTCATAACAACTTCATCTAATTTACAGTGTTATTTTAAGAACTGCTGACAGGATAGATGTGATATACTTTCAACAGTTATTAAAAATAATAAATGTATACTACTACTATGAATAATAGAGAAAGTATCACTGGCCTGCATACAATCTTTGGGATTTTCATTACCTACCCTTAATTAATCAAAGGAAGTTAATCCTATGCTCTGCAGCCGATTGACAGAGGAGAGGATCAAGAGCTGGGCTCTAGAAGAAGGGAGACTCTGATTAGTGGTGTTTAAAGTCGTTTCCACCTCTGAGCCATAACAGCCATCACTGCAAATTCTCTTTTGGAAGCTTGTGCCACAACTACAGGAGATAACAGTGTTCAAGGAAAGCGTGAAGCCTCTTTGAACTCATTTAAGAAGAATATTAAACCATACACTTCCTTAGCAAATTTAATACCTCCATAATTTAAAACACACGCCTTACTGGAGTACAGTGAATGGGATTGAATCAAAATGTCATTTTCTGCTATTGTGTCGCTTTAACCAGTGTGTGGGGGTTGTTTTTTGCATACCCCCCTGCAGCGAGCTGAAATCCCAAAATTATGCTCCTCAGGGACCCTCAAGCACAATGTGAGTGGTGTGATGTGGGAAGGGGGAGTTAGCAACAATATTAGCCCTTCTGCTAGAAGAAAAGTTTGGATTTCTGTCCATGTGCACACTGTAGGGCACTGATAATATATGTGCTCAAATAATATTTTCCAAGAAACAAACAAAAAACATTAACGCCCAAACACACTTAAAATGGGAAGCAAAACTGTGCAAAGCTATTCAGTAGACATTATGGTAAGACTACAGAATCTGTGATTACTGAAATGCATACATTTACACGTTTTCATGCATCTTATATTTGTATCAGCAGTCCCACATGCTAAGCAGCAGTTAAACACAATGATTACAGGGAGATGTGACGTGAAGGTACATTCCCCTAAATAAATACTCAAGCACTTCTAGGGCTCGGAGCTCATATAAAGAGATTTAATAATAGCTATCAAGACACTACCACAGGAAATCTTGCCACTTACACACACAAAAGTTCATGTTGGAAACAAATTAATGGAAAATACCTCTCATTTCAAGTACAAAGCTGTTAAACATCTACTAAGAAAAAATGATAAGCATGACACCCATGACAGAGGCTGTTCAAGACCATTTGTTGTCAGGATCATTACAAGCATTTTTATAAACTTCTGAAGATATTTTAATCTGAAGAACACGCAAGAAGCATGTTCCATTCCTTGGGCTGAATGCTGTGGACTTCATTCTGGGCTTCCTCAATTTTCTATACTAGGATCACTTTGCAGTTTAATGAATTAATGCCCCTCAATATGTTTAGGATATTGCTCAAAATTGGCTCAGCACTTCTGGAATTCAGACACAAGCGCAAAGGGGAAGTAAAGCACTTAAAAAGGACAAAGAGGTCACTGGAGCAGGCATGACTTTTCACATCTGTTAGCATGCAAAACTAAAGTGATGCTTGCCAAGCAGATCTAAAATTACACCTGCTTTGGTGAATTAGCCTATCACAGTAACAGTACATGATGGCAGGGTGAGTTTAAGGCTTCCGCCAACTGTCCAATCAACTGTAGCCACTCATGATTAAGTCTAAAAATACTGTCTGAATTCAAATATTATTGGCTGTCACTATGAGAGACAAGAACAAATTTCTTTTTGCAAAGTAATTGCTCACACAGCCGTCAAAGAGGCAACAGGTTAGAGTGCGGGTTCTTGTACTCAGTGAGCCTTCCAAAGCATAGCAAATGGTTCCAAGTGTCTCCATCAAAATATTCTGTATGTCAGAATAAAAGTCAGTTTAAAGCTTTTCTCATTAGGTCTCTAAGAACTGTTCAGTAAATGAGTCACAATGATTTTTCTAACCTTGTTAGAAGTTATAATAAATCATTACAATTTAAACATATTAAATTGATTCCCAGTAAGAGAGTTAACTAATTGTTTCTGTAAATAGTATAACTATCAAACCCAACAAGGGTTCGGGTATTTTTCTGTTGCATTTAAGAAGTCATTTTTAAAATAGCTAACCAGAACCATTTTGGGGGCCTAGTCAGCTCAGGGATCTATTACTCCAAATACCCTCTGAAACAAAGTTGTTTCAATGAGCCATCCATAAGCAAGAAGAGGTGAAATAAGGTGCACCTTTCTTGGCATGACAATCCAAAAGATATGGTGTCACTTCTGAAAATCTTATTGTTCTGTCCGAAGCACAGTCACACATTTCTAAGCTGATGGACTGGGGAGGACTGGCCATTTAACTTACAGGGGAAATTTGCAGTGGGCCACTACCCTACTGACCCACTGGTGGCTAGAAACAACCCAAGCCAAGCATCAACAACTCTGTAAGTGACTTATGGACCACTTGGCTCAGATCCTGCATTGGCAAGGGTAATGCCTCAGTAGCCATTCAGCTTTTTTGTTCCTGTGCCATTTTCACTTTCCAATCCACTCCTACCACTGACTTTAGCCAAATACAGCCACTCATATTTAACCAGTGGGGGAAACACACAACTAACAGTAATTTTTAAAAACGACTTCTTAAATGCAACAGAAAAATACCCAAACCCTTGTTGGGCTTGATAGTTATACTAACTACAGAAACAATTAGTTAACTCTCTTACTGGGAATCAATTTAATATGTTTAAATTGTAATGATTTATTATAACTTCTAACAAGGTTAGAAAAATCATTGTGACTCATTTACTGAACAGTTCTTAGAGACCTAATGAGAAAAGCTTTAAACTGACTTTTATTCTGACACACAAGACTCCGCCTATGTTTATAAAGTTTAAGAGAAAAAAACTGAGAAAATAAATAAAGCAAGTGAAAACAAAAAAGGAAATTTCTAAAGGTAGCTGTGCTAAGTAGGCAGCTGGCCAATTCTTCTAGATGCAAGTTCGTCCTCACAAGAACATTACAGAGCAGATGGCCAGGTCACACAGAAGACTTCTCCAATTCCTTCAATAAACCTCCAACCTTGTGAGAGGATAGAGACCTCCACAGTTCACATATGGATTGCTGCACAAGTAAGTGGGAAGTGCCAATACTCAAGAGGCATCTTCCAGAGCAGACCCGTAGCTAGTATTTTTTTTGGGGGGGGGGGTTAAATTTTGAAGAGGGCTTGGGGTAGTGTCCCAAAATGGCCCTACCTTGCCACAACTAGCGCACCACCGCCATCTTGGGATCATCTTCTTGCTCTAAAAAAAGAAAACAGGTGAGAAAATCTGAGGGAGGGTGGAGGGAGGGAAGGAAGGTACCCACTAAAGGAAACGAGGGCGAGCCTAGAGACGAGGCACTGCAGCGCATGTTCCGCTGTCCCACCTTGGCCAAAAGTGGACCCTTCACCAGTCGTGGGCTGAACAGCACTTGGGGCTGGGAGCAAGGCAGGAGGGTGGCGGGGTGGGCTTCCCATGGCCTATAGGTTGGGGGGGCTGGTGAGGGTGGCATAGTTCCGCTCCAGCTCTGGCTGGCTGGCTGGCTTCCCAGTTGGGCCTCCACTGGAGAGCGGTGGAGAGGAGCACAAGCCAGGCAGGGCATTTGCATCAAAGGTCCGCAGCATCTGGTGGGCGAGCCGGGGGGGGGGGAGGCAGTCATGTGAAAGGCTCCCTCTTCCCAGCGCAGAGAATGGAGGGTGGACCTGGCCAGACTTCTCCATTGGGGCTGTGAATTTAAGAAAGGAGGCTAAGCCCCGAATAGCCCACTGTAGCTATGGGCCTGTTCCA